CGTGTGGGGGATGTGGGGGACATGGGGACGCACCAGAGGCCACTGGGCCTGACTGCATCTGGGGGGAGCTGAGACCCCCAAGATGGAGCCTGGGTCACAGAAAGCCTCAGGGACGAGCAGAGGGAGGGGCTCAGTGATGGGATGGGACCCCTGCTCACTATATACTTAGTCTATGTCTGATTTTTAATTGCCTGGCCTTTCGAAATTGCTTACTCCAAGTTAATCACTTATTTCTTGTTATGTCTAAAACTTAGTACCTAAGATTGATTTTTGTTAATCTAGCTTGATTGGCTTTTAAGCCAGCCATGATAAGGGGCTGTACAGGGGACTCATGAGTAGTATTTGCATTGAACTATTAGTATTCTTAGAGCACTGTATCCTGTTAATTAAATCTATAAGATGATAGCTATTTATCAATTATTCCTATTAATAATATCCTAATAAAAGTCTTCTAAAAGCTTGTTCCTTTTACAAATTCCTTCTTTTTTTTTTTTAATCACATTCCTGTGATCCTTCTTATTTATAATTCTACATCTCTCTATTTTCTGCATTATAAAAGAACAATAGCCAATATAACCTTGAGATAAAATAATCACAGAGACTATTGTGACTCTAATTGTTAAAAATTAACGATTAATTTCTTTAACCAAGTCATTAAGTTCAGAAACCGGTATGTCAACCAAGAAAAAAGTGTCAGTAAATCCCCAAGAAGTATTACATCTTTCTGAATTTGTTGCATAGTTGAATTTAATTCCCAGATTTTATGGACATCGGTTATTAATTCTCCAGATGGGTGTGTATACGTACAACAGCTAACGTTTAAAATGGTACAAACTCCTCCTTGTGAAGCTGAAATCATGTTCAGTGCCATTCTATTTTGAATATTAATTTTTGAAAGCTTGGTGACCGCCTTTTGCAGGGTGAGCAATCCATGAGCAGTAGAGTTTGCTAATTTCCCCAGAAACGTTTAAAATTGCTTTTTCCAATTCATTAACTCCTAAAGAGGGGAGAAGCCATTTAATAAATGAATGAAATCCAGTTGGTCTTTCAGTTAGGGGATTGTTTGTTCTTTGAGTTCGAATTAAAAAGGTTTTATGCCATGTTGAACCCGCAATAGTTTTTGGATGAATTTCTAAGTCAGTAGACATCACTCTTAAAGTACAAACACCTCCTCAATCCAGTGGTAAGGGTTTATGGGACTTGTTTCCACACAACCAGAATATTCCCAGATTTTCAGGTGCTCACCAACTTAAAAGGCAAGCCTGTAATAATAGAAACAGTATTTTGACATTGAGTCCAGTTTCCTACAAAAGAATGATTTTTATGTAAACGCTGATTATCGACACCTGAGGGATAACATCTCTGCACACAATGGGCCTGTGAATAATCTCCTGAGTCAGATAAACCCATTTTCCAAATTTGTTCCTTGTGAGTCTCAGAGAAAGGGGTGTTATGCCAATATTTCTTCCAAATTTTATTATTAGGAATTGGAATTCCTGCTGATCAAAACGATTCACAGTTTTACGTAAGGCCACACAAATCCAATATTCACTTAGGTTCAAATGGCTGGTAAAAGATCTCAAAGACACATGAATATTTTATTTTCACATTGGTCTGACCTGGTTACCATTCTCAGGTTTCTGATTAGATCGCTTCAAATATTAAATAAGAACATACTTTGATATAAATTTGAACGATAGTCTGGGTGATTTACATGAGCTGTGGCACACCTAAACTCCAAAAAAAGGAATTTAACTGTGTTCCTCACATCACATTATGAATCACAATCTGAACTGCTGGGGTTTCAACCCCAAGCCCCAAATTAAGGCTGACATCTGGGTGATTCCCACAGCCCTTCCCAAAGGGGGGTGAGTTTCCCTTCAGGCTTCCCTCCAGGGTGGTGCCGGCCTGGCAGGGAGAGCCATGGGGTAAAGGAGCCCCGGGTGTCTGCATTCAGTGAACAAAGGTCAGGTGTCCCACTGAGGGATAACAGCTGGGACCCCTCGCAGGAGGGGCAGTGTCTGTCTGTGAGGGGGATGCCCTGTGCAGAGTTCCCTGTTGGGGAAGGGCCTCCCGCCTCCCTGGGACTGGGCTCCAGTCAGGTCTAGCTTTTGTAAACTCAGGCTGTGTAGAGATTCAGTGTGTGGCTTCCTTGGTCTTATGTGTTTGGCTTGTTGACTCGGTTGTCTCCCGTCCCTTCTATGTGAGACTGCATGTCACCATTTATTCCACCCATTGTTGGTCATGTGGTGTTGTTGTTGGTGTCAGTGGGATTGATGTTATGTATAATTTGATTGACTTGTTTGTACCTCAGCACTCACCCATGTACTGACCCTTCTGTGTCAAATCCAATCTGGTTATTGGTTCACCTTGATGCTGGCTGTGCCCTTTATGCTAGGCCTGATTGGCAAAACGATAATTGAGATGTAAACTGGGGGCTTGTACCCTAGAATTGAGAGGCTGGAGAAGAAAAAATATAATTTTCAAGGGAAAAAGGTGGTTTGCACTGTAATGAAGGCCAGTTAGGCCCTTAGAAATGAGGGAGTGGTGCATAATAGGGAGGCTGTTACCATTAGAATCAAAATGTTGGGCACTAGAAATTAATTTGAGACATAAAATGTGTATTTGGACTATAAAATAGAGTGCTCGGTGCAGAAAAATAAGACTTTTTACGGTAAAAATGTGTTTTTGAACCCCAAAATGGGATTTTTATCATAAAAAAGGAGAGTTGGGGCCCTAGAAACAACGTAGCTGTTAACCATAGGATCAAAACTTTGGATGCTAAAACTTAATCTTTGAGATGTAAAAAGGGAGTGTGGACACTAAAATTGAGAGCTGGGAGTGAAAAAAATGAGGCTTTTCAGGGGAAAAATTCATCTTTGTCCCCCAAAATAGGGTTTGTACCCTAAAAAAGGAGAGTTAGGGCCCTAGAAATGAGGGACTGGTGCGTAATAGGGCTGCTATTAACCATAGAATTAAAACTTTGGATGCTAAAACTTCATTTTTGAGATGTAAAATGGGGGCCTGGATGTGGCAACTGAGGCACGGACTCTCCACTGAAGTGCAGAAGGAAAGACCCTTTATTATTGCAATAGTACACACTTATGCTCTCACCAAAGCACTTCAAAATTAGCAAAGCAGCAATTAGACAGCTCTCAACCTTTCCTCCTATCAGCACTAGACCGCTCTAACACACGCTGTGCGGACCAATCACCTTCTTGTTCATGCGGTGGTAACTTCTTACAGTCTAGTACTTTTGCACAGCTCAGTGTGGCAGCTTTCCCTGCCCCCTTGGCACAACTCAGCAGTTCCTTATCTGTGTTCCGAGGCCTGTTCTTCATCGAAGCCGAGCTGTTTCTCAGAGGCTGTGCAGGGCTGACAGGCCGATGTCTCCTACATCTCCCCTTTCTTTGTTTTGCAGGGGCACCTGCAAGACCTGTTTCAAGGCTTTATCAACTAAGGTTTAGGCAAACTTCAAAAGACACAGCATCCTTAAAATAGTTCCACAGGATGCTGAAAACAATACAGCACTTACAATTACTAGTTAAAAAGAGTAGGGTAATTTCACTATCCATAATTAAGGGATATGGCTAAATACTACAAAAATAAACAGTAAGGTAAACACGGGAGTAGCACGCTTACTTAATGGGGTACTAACATTCAGATCCACAATCGCTGGGGAGCCCTGGATGCAACGAGGATTCAGAGTGCCCTTCCTCGTAAACCGGGAACCCTATGCGATGTGTCCATCCGTAGGTGAGGCATCCAACGTTGCTGCAAGCAGGTCCAGCATCTAAACCAACTGGCCAAAATAACTGGCAGTTTTCTTTGAGCGGGAACATCTGATCTCATCATCCTGTTGGGTTCCACCCAGAGCCTGGCCAGCACTCCAGGGGGAAAACCAAGGGAGTCTCTGATAAGGTTAAATACTTGAGTTCTTAATTCTTAATATTGCTAAACAAAGAAAGTTGTTTACACACATTCTTACAGCATTTCATCCTTAATAACTGCATTTCATCTAAACTACATCTTTCACTAGTGAACAGTAAGCCTAGATTTTTCATTAAGCAGTTGCAATTACTGTCAGCATTTTCTCTTAAAAGAATTGGCAACTTGTTGTGGTTTAAGCCCTGCTGGGACCGGAGAGCACGTTGCTGTTGCCCCTCCCCCACCCTCAGCCGGTTGGGCTGGAAGTTAGACACAAACCCGGGCTAAAATAACAAGAAATTTAATGCAACAGTGATAAACAATCTGAACAACAGCAGTAGCAATGAGAACAACAATAAACAGCAATAACAGTGAACAAGACAAACGATATACAGAGAAATACTGCAAATGGTCACAGAACAAAGCCGACGTGTGGGTCCCGCCACCAAAAAGCCAAAGAGAAAGTAAAATCACAGTTTTCCGCCCCTGGATCTGATGTCAGCATGGTATGAATAACCCGGCTGGAGATCCTTTGCCCCTCTCTCTCTGCTGCGGAAACTTAACCCTATCCGAGCTGAACCAGGACATAATCCACCTCTTTATTCTATACCATCT